AAACCCTTGTTTTTGCATCTCCGCGACTGAGTCCTCCCTCCAAGATCCACTTTCCTGACATAACGCAGTAGCACAGGACATGGGGAAACGAGGACTATTTAAACACATGAGGGAGGGGAACCCCAGGTGTAATCAATAGGTAATCAACACATGACGAGACACCAGACATTCCCCCAGACGTGACACTACCAATTTTTACAGCCCGCTTGCCCTTCTCACCTCCCACAACCAATTGATCCGAATGAACATTTAAATTGGTCTACGGGCTCCACGTCTGACACGTCTCTGACAGCCTCTTGTCCAGAGGCGGTCAGGACAGTCTCCAGTGTCCATCCAACATTTGAAAAAGTCGGTCTATAAAATTGATAGCTGGACCATCATTAATGATAGCCTTTGGGGCAGATGGAAAAGCAGTTATAGTCATACTAATGTTGTTTTGTGTTAGGAAATAGGCAGAAATAAGAGTGACTGTAAACAGCTCTGATAACACGATTCGCTTCTGCTTTTGTTATCTTTAATTTGAATTAGTTTTTTTTGCGTGCTGGGGCACGTTTGAACATTTGAGAACTGTGAAAAGGAGTAGCTTTGTGACAATTTAACCTTTTTTCTTGAGTAAAATAGGCAGGAATAATGAGAAAGAAACCCCAGCAATGCAACCCACAATCCCATCAATAAAGACATATTGCTTTGTACTAAGAAACCTATTTCTGTCTTTATAAAATAAGTTGTGTGTCTGTTAGACATTCATTTTAATACTTGATACAATTGTGCCACAGGTTTATATAAACTGGTACGTGCATTATAGCGTTGCTTGTAGAATAAATAAAACACTTAAGGCTATGTTAATAAGTTTCTATCATGTAGCCATAAAAAAGGGGAATAAAATTGTCCACTTTCATAGGCTGCTGTTAAGATTAATTTCTTTTAGAGACTGAAATAAACTATTACAAATGCATTGCATTGTTTGTGTGGTCAGGTGGTGCTTTTGCATGGCACGTGCACGTGAAGGCATCACATGACACACTGCAGTGGTGCTGTCTTGTTTTATGATGTGTTCCATGAGACTGGTGCAGTTTTAATGAGATGTATTTTTCCCAAAGAATGTTGTTAAATGAAACTCAGTCTCCCTTTCCTGTAAATGCATACCTGAAATAGCTGTCAGATACTTGGAAATATAAACGTGCGAATCACAATTGCGCTGAATAAATAATGAGAGCCGATGTAAGTGCTATAGCCGTACATCTATAGCATCAATATCTCACTTTAACATCGTTGCAGGCATCACGGCAGCTTTTCTGGGCAGAATTATACAAACACACACACACACAAACACACACACAGAGCTGAATTTAATGCAGAATAATAAGGGAGGAGGCAACAGTAACAGCTCTGTCAGCTCTCCACATTCCTCTTTTTCCTTCTTTTTCTCTTGGTCTTTCCTATAGAGTCGATTTCAACATTTTTCATTATCAAGTCAAATAAAAGAGCGTGAAATGAAAGCATAATTGGGTTTTGATTTGAGTATGGAGCTGTTGCCACCCTCTGACGAAGCCCATCCAGATCGCTGCTCATGACCTTATTAAGAAACATAGACAAGGGGAAAAGTTAAAGTTCTTCCTGGAACTCATAAAACCATCTGCGTGTTGCAGTCCTTCCAAGTTTTCATGTGCATTTATAACTTTCCCTCTGTGTTGGTTTTCACTGCCTCTGCAGAAAAAAAGGTGTGCTAACAGCCCAAAAAACGAGTGTTCAAGTGAGAAATCTCAAGTATCCTGAAGTAGCTCCTTGTCATCATGGCTAAGTGCATATGTGTAAAAGCATGGATGGGAGTTTTCTCCTGGGACCTGCTCCAGTGTGAAGCCTAAGCCTCTCACAGTGTGCCGGGACAAGACAAATATATCACTTTCTCCTCCTTAACACCCTCCCTGCTCAACATCATAGTCACACATCTTTTGCAAACTAACAAGTTAGCGAACCTCGAAGCACTCAAATAATTTAAAGCTGCAGTTATTTATTTTTTTCATTGGTATATAATTGATATTTGTTCAATTTTGCCCATGTTTTCAGCACTGTTATCTCACTACAGCCAATACATAAGATTGTGTCAGTACCAGAAAATAGACTCATGTTGCACTGCCCAGACCTCGGTAATAAAGATGTTTTTTTTTCAGGTTGTAATGCCGGGTGCAGATGTCTTGATGCGTAGTCGGGCCTCACAGTTTGTAAGGTGAGTCAGCTTAGCTCGACACATGAACGGAGTCCAGAGGGATTTGTGGTAACACCAGATACTGGCAGATTGTAAAATCAGGCACACAAATGTGTTTAACACATGGATTAGCACACATGGATACTGACAAACTGGAACTCTTTGCACATCATCAAAGAGTTGAGAAGTCGTGGACGTCTTGGCGAAATTCAAAGCCAAATATTCAACATGTGGCCTCATCTGCAAAGAGGTTGTGTCCCTGCCGATTTAGGCTTGAACCTTCTTGAACAGACCATCACCTAGAGGGTCTGATCATACTTTCTAGAGCAATCACCAGACACCACATAAAATGTATATAAACAGGTATTTACATGGATGTAACATGCAGACTTACTCAACACTGGTGGTTTTGGTATGACTTCTTGTTTGATATGTTCTTAGTTTTTTAACCCTATAATGCCAAATGTATCATATTTGATACATACGGTTTCTGAAGTCTTTTGGATCTGAGACTTTTTGCATCGTTCAATGGTAAAAGCTCAAACCCCTGTTCTACACACACAGATAAACCTGATGACAGCGAGTAGAAGACTACTCGAAAATATATTTTTGACTTATTGCACGCTAATTTGATCAAAATAATTTCAGTTTTTTTTTTTCTTCATATTTTGTTGAGGGGCCAAAGAAAGACTTCAGGCTAAAAAAATCCAATATTCTTCCTATTTTTCTTGGATCAGGCTTTAAAGGGTTAAGCATATCCCAATAGGTTTAGGTTTCTGGTTTTGAATTTCTAACTTTTGTTAAATTAGAGGTTTTTTCCAGTTATTTCTTATCACCTCTTGTGCCTGTTAGATGTTACTATGTTACTTTGATACTGTGTTGTCAATTAGAAAAGCAATAAATTGCAGATAACTGTACAAGTAGTCTTTTAATTCCGGTAAAGGTTAAATAATGAGGATTGATCATCTCCACAAGGCTTGTTTCAGCCTTTTACTTCACGTGACTACAATGGAGGGAAAACTAAGAATGGAGAACGTTAAACACAAAACAGCAAAAAGTACATAATGTAATGTAATAATCTCAAAAGATTCTTTATAAAAAAAAACAGCCCTCCATTTCCAAAAAATCCCTTTGTACTACTGTGGTGTCCATGGCAACATACCTGTCCGTTTGGGGCTTCTCCTGCCAGCGGTTGGTCAGCCAGTCGATACGGCGTGTAATGACCAGGAGTGCTGGTTGATAAATGTAGTGTGTAGGTCATTGTGTTTGTTTCTTTGTGGTGTGTGTGTGTCTGACTTGGATGACTGTGGCTGTGGTGGGATCTGGCTCTGGGGTTTTCTGTCTTTTGACACGCCATGGCTCTTGGGGAACTGAGTCAGTGGGGCCAGGGTGTGGGCTGACCACTGGGAGGTGGCCTGACCACCGGGGTGTGGGCTGACCACCGGGTTGTGGGCTGACCACCGGGCTGTCTGGCCCGCTCGGGTGCAGGGGTGGGGCCTCTGCTGGGGGGCTTGGGTTCTGGTTCTCAGCCTAATGTCTGGTGGACATGGCTTAATTAATCCTTTGTTTTATTAACCCCTTCTAATCTTTCACCGTAAATGCCTAAAGTTAAAAAAAACAAATTAAAATTGATGCACAAGGTCTAACCAGTACGGGAGAACCCTCTTTAGTTTCTAGTGAAACTGTCAGAAACACTCTGGGTTATACAAAAAAAGAGGTATAAAAACGATGAACTCGATGATTTGGTCCACATTAAATCCAAATAATCTATCTCAGGATAACTAACTATCTGTGCCTTTTTCTGAAAGAATGAATACCTGTACGGGCACGGCTGCACAAAGTACCACTGTTTCATTAAAAGGACCTCTTCATCGACCATCTTCCTCAATTCCTCCTGGACACTAAAATAGGTTTTTGACTTACTTTTTTTTATTGGAAATGTAAAAAGAGCCATTCTGTGCTGAGTCGAAACTGGAAAAGCACCATAGACTAGATACTGGGAGCCGGAGTATGCCTTTTTTCCCATTTAGCGCCACAGTACTTAAACCTCTAGGAACACCTATCCACTCTCAAACGTAAGAGCTAACCGATGTTTCCATTTTCTCTGCAACAGATAATGGAATCTCATTCACGGGCTGTGGCCACATCAGCCTCGGTAAGTAAAAAAAATCCAAACTGCAGGAACCACAGCTTCAACTTTTCCTGGAAGTCCTGATTTATCTGTACTATTGCAGTCCCTTAGCAACATCTTTCCAAAACAGCACTACCTGGTACGACTCTTTACTGACTTTTTTTTCCTATCGCTTCATTTCTCTCTACTGATTGAGATGCTTTTTGACTAACTCCGCTTGATTTTCATACCAGCCCACTTTAGATATTTATCAAGTGTCTCAATCATTCTCCTCATACATAGCGCTGTTGTAGAGTTGTAGCATCATATAATTCATGTAAGCAGCAGTTAGTGTAGGACACATGCCTTCCTGACGTCTCTCCCCACCTACAACCCACTTGGAAGCTCTAATAATTATCTCCATTGTAACTGCAAATGAAGAAATCGCACACCCTGCCATTATGCCTATGTCTACCCTCAGCCATCCTGTTATGAAACCTTCTGTACTTAGGCATAGGCTAATGTCGTGAAAATATACTCTGAGTTCCCAACTACCACTGGCACTCTGAAATGCATGCGTTAAAGCCAGATATATAACGTGCAAGTCCTTTTTCTCAATTGCAACTGTCTGAATCTGATGCTAAACCATGCTAGTGTGCTCTAAATTGAAACCTGGTATCTTTGCCTTTTGGCAAAGATACCTATAAGGCACCTATAAGGTACCTATAAGGCAATTGCTTTCTAAAGAACAAGCAAGTCTAAATGCAGTGACACTGAGGAAAATATGCTATTGCTATAGATAGGCAACCAAATCAAATATGATGAATAATTAAAAAGCTATTCTGCAAAAGAGATGTGTGGTAGAAATGTTTAGAGTTCATCATGAACGTGTTGCTTTTAGCTGATGTCACACATAGAACATAGTTTTACAATCATTACAAGAAATGGAGCTCCTGTTTACATAATGTTACCTGACTTTACACATTATAATTCAATTCTGCAGGAATTTCCACCATACTATTACCTTCCATATCACAAGACACTTTTTTTTTACATTGTGGTCTGCAGTCACTCAAAATAAGAAGAACAATTTTTTAAAATCTGTTTAACCAACAGCTTTTTTCTCATCTCTCGTCTCTTCCTTTTTAATTTTCTGTTCCCTTTTGGCATAAATCTACTCATCTCACCTTCCATTAATTTACCAGTGCTCTACCCATCCTCCACGTCTGATCTAACCCAGCCTTTTGCCTTTGGTTCATCCTTTTCCTCCCCCTTCCAGTTTATGGGCTGAATGGAGTCAGGTCAGGGCTGTAACCTCCCCCTGCCCTGCCCTCTATCTCCACTCAGTCTATCTTTGTTGAAAAACATAAATAACAATTTCCTATCGCATCAGTCTGATTAGGCCAGCAGCTGGGACAAATAACTTCATTACCGAAAGCAATACTTTTGTGTTTATATATTTCACCACACATGACAGGGTGTCAGTCAGTAATTTCATTAGATTGTATTCTCTTCCGCTCCTTTTGAAGGGATGCGGTGCCTGTTAGTGTAGATGTTCAACTTTAAATGATGCCTGGAGATATGATATGATATGATATGATATGAAAAGAAATCAGTGCCATCATTAGGTGTATAGATTCCAGAGACAAACACTAAGTGTGAAAGTCTAATACTATGGAAAAGAAATGGCAGACGTGGGTGTGCTTTTGTGTGTGTGTGCGCGTGTGTGTTTGTCTGTGTGTGCCTGTAAATCAGATTGACGGTGGCCATAATTAAATTGTATGTGCTCTCGAGGATCATGTCTGCCTCCCTCCATCACCCTGTCCTTTTTGCTTTGTATCTTTTTTCACAGAGAGCGGCGGTTAGTCATTTCGCCAGAGAATCTTTCTTCAAAATATGGCCGTCTGGGTTTTTTTCTATGTTTGGTTTTTCTGTACAATTATTCACACTAATGTGCCATCTAAGCTGGGTCGTTTCTCATTCCACAAAAAAAGAAAGATGCACGAAAAAAATAATCATTTATGAATAATTTGACAAAATTAGACCTTAAATGGCATTATTCAGAACTTATAGCCGATAATGAATTAGACATCTAAATAATCAAATGTCAAATACAATATTGATATAGCCCGTTTTTGGGTCTAATTATACAGGTCTCAACCATATCAGCTGAATACTTTAGAGTGCATCTGTTTACATAGAAATTATATGGCATGAATTGAAAGATGAGGTGAAAAAATACTCAAGTTATCGCAAAACAAAATTATATGTGGAGTAATTACTGAGGTAATTATGAACATTACAGCCTCTATTGAATACGACTCATCGCTGATGGCAGGGAGGATCTTCTTTGTGTTTCTCGTGTGCATCGGAGCTGAAGAAGCCTCAGACTGATTCCACTCTGTTGTTTTAACGTGATGTTATGAGGAGGACTGTGTTGTTTTTCATGTTAGCCAACTTGTTCTTTGCATTCTTCTTTGAACAATCAGCTCCCAGTGACTCCCCAGAACAGAGTCAAGCTCAATCATCAGTTTGTTCTTTGACCCTGATGCTGCTTTTCCACTCAGCTCTCCCCCACAGACAGATATACAGTGTCCTCCACATTTATTGGCACCCCTGTTTAAGATGTGGTTGAGGATTTCTAAAAATTCTCATTTTTTTTAAAAACAACAAAGAACCCAAATGCAAAAAAAGAGAAAAATCCAACCTTTTATTTAAGTACATTACTTTGGT